TTCAGCTTCTTGTCTTCAGCAGCTGTTAAACAATTCTTTATGGTCTCTTCCAGTTGTTCTTCACACTTGTCTGAACCCCACTGTGGGATGTGACAGTGAATGACAAACTTTGCTGCTAAGCCAGCGGATTGGCTGAGAGCAGCTGAAAGAAAAAGAGGCGAGGGGTAGGAAGGGCAAGAAAAAGAATCTGAAAGCATGGTTCCCAAGCAAGCACCTCACCCACTGCTGACCTTTTCAGTTTTAAAATAGAAAAGCCACTGAAGATAGGGTTGCTAGTTTGAAGCACCACCTAACCCCCAACTTTGGAGGATGAGGTAGGGACTACCATACAAATGCCAGGATGATCATTTTCCGCCTGTGAAGTGTTAAAAGTTATAATCAAAGTTGCTTGTTTGTCACACTTAACTGGAGGAGAGCTTCACATTTACCAATGCAAGCATGGGGGAAGGGGCTATTTAAAGTTTCTCTACATTTTCCAAAGCAAAAGAATTTCACTTATAATCCTTATAGTTTTCTGTCATACCATAATCAGCTATAAGACAGAATATTACAGGCATTCAAATATTATCTGTTTTTTTTTTAAAGACAACCTACAGTGTAGTCTTTTACATGTCTTCTCTGAAATAAGTCAGTAGAGGTCAATGAAAAATTTCCCAGGTAAATGAATATAGGATTATAATCTTAATGTCTTATATGTTCACATGAAATAGTAACACAGTCATTTAGATTGATTGTTTTTGGGCATTTATTTTACCTAGACATATTTCTATGTCATTTGTATAGAAACTGCACAATGTACCTTTACCCATGGATGATGGAGGATAATACAATTTCTAACAGTCTGATCTTGGACAGAGTTTGTTAAAAGCTTTAAGAACCAAGATTTTCTATTTCTATATATCTGATCATGTTTATTATTCCAAAAATAGGATAATTTCAGCCATTTCTAGGTAATAGCTTCCTTTCAGGTGTGAAAAATAAAATAATTAAAAAACTAAATTCTGTATCAGGGAATTTGAGGAATAGATACATTCCCACTAGTAGTGCAGCTAAGCTGTAATCCTTTACACAAATAACTGGATGCAAGTCCCACAGAATTCAGTAGGGTTTCCAAGTAAATACGTATAAGATTGCACTTTTAATTTCCCTCTATAACTGTGATCAATCAATTTAGTGTATCTTATTTCTGAGGCTACCTTTCTTAGGAAATTAAAAGTGCAATCCTATACCTGTTTACTTAGAAATAAACCCTATTGAACACAGAGTAACTGGCTTCTATGGAGATGTATATGTGGCTGCAGAGTTATTTCATGGGAAAAGCAAGATCTGGTGTGTTGGAAAAACCTACATTGCTTCACCATCCACACAGTCTTGTTATCACTTATTTTTAATCTTTAAAATATCTAAATAAATCATCAACTGAACAGCAAAGAATGCCAGGAGAAAGGGCTGAACACTTCAGAGGGGTCAAGTACTATGGGATTAATTTAAAAATATTGTGATAAAAAGAAGATAGTACCTTCTGTGACTTCCAGAGGTCCTTGTGATTTTCGGAGTTCCTTTACTGTTTCTAAGAATTCTTTACCTCCAGCCTTTTCCAGTGCTTTGCCTAAAATATATACATATATATACATGTGTGTGTGTGTGTAAATACATCTCTTGTAATGCTGGATGGAGCTTTCACACTACAAAGAAGATTTCAAAGACAAAGTCATGCAGCTATGGTTATGAATTTAGTGCCCTCAGGTGAGGGGTTTCTTTATAGCAGACAAAATGGAAGTACTTCCTTCACAGTGCCTCAGATTGCCATTTAAAAGATGAATACTGGTACTACTGTGCCTTAACAGAAAATGGAGAATGCTATCTATGCTTACTAAAAACTAAGTCCAATAATGGTTGTTGTAGTTTTTCAGGATGTTTGGCCATGTTCTTGTTTTTTTTTCCCCCTAATGTTTTGCCAGTCTCTGTGGCTGGCACCTTCAGAGGACAAGAGTTAGAACTCTGTCTGTGTTCTGGTGTAGTGTGTGGGACTCAACAAAGTCTGGCTCCCAGCACTGAAAAATACAGCATGCTAAAAGGTCAATGAACTTTACCCAGCCATAAGGACCAGTGATCACTGCACACAATAGACTAGCTAACGATATCCATCAATCACAGTGACAGATCATCTCCCCCTTATTACAACAATACACCCATAACAAACAATACCCTGATCACCATAATCACCCAATCTCCTGAAATGGACAAAAAGCTGATCCCACACACTGCAAATACTCAGCTATCCCACACACTACAGCAGAACACAGAGTTCTACCTCCTGCCCTCTGAAGATTCCAGCCATAGAGACTGGCAAAACGTTAGGAAGGAAAACCTCCAGAACACAGCCAAACAGCCCAAGAAAACCTACAACCACCATTGGATCCTGGCCATGAAAGCTTTCGAGAACACATTAAGACCATTAAGTTTAGTGGATTTACCCCCTAGGAAGTATGCATAGAGATTCTAGCTTTCATTTGAATAGAGAGGAGAGCATTAATCAAATCCATACGATTCTTGCTAAGTTGTAATCCTGCTTGGCTGACATTAGTAAAGTATTGATTATCTGTAAGATGTACAATTGTCCAGAGCAATTCAAATCTAGTTTTGCTTTCTTGTGAAAACCTTGAAGATGACTGGCTTTCAGTATTCCTCTCGGAAGCTTACTATTTAGATGTGCTACTCAGATGTTCAAGTATCACTGCCTTCAGAAGCAACAAAAAGCAAAATAAACAAGCAAATAAAAACAAGTATTAGACCTACCTACTTCTTCCTTGAGGTCTATTTCACCAGTAGTTGGGTGCACAATGCCTTCGACTTTCATAGAACCAATATGGCTGATGTCACTCTGTGTCAGAGACAGCTGGAAGATGCCAATACATCAGAAACTTTAGAAAGTCATAAGAGTTTAAGAAGAGCTTGGCTGAATCAAACTAAGGCACTATATCATCCTGAAAAAAACAGCCTGATGTCTTCAGGAATGAGTTCTATATAACACGAAGCTAAGAACCTTCTATGGCTGTTTGTCAATGACCCAGAGACAAATGCATCTGAAAATTGACATTCTGTTTATGACCATGACTAAACCCCCATGAATTTGTCTAACCTTTCCATAATATTTTCATGGTTAACATCATTTAAAGTTTCCTAGTTTGGTCTTTTAACATATGTTGTTTCAGAGAATCTCCTATGTTAATTATGCATTGTGTGAAATAATGACTCTCCTTTTCCATTCTGAAGGTACTACTATTAAGTTTCATTGTGTAGTTTCTAGACTTGTTCAGTGCCCTGTGCAGTTACAACATGAAGAACCAGATAAAATAAGGGGACTAAGAGAAAGGAAAGAAAAATCCTCTCTATACACCACATCATCCTAACCATTCTGAGTTGTCTTCCCCTGCAAAACTAAAAACCCATTTGAGAAATAAGCCACATTAATTTTATCTCTATTTTCCACCTTACAATGTACACTGAGATGGGTCAGCCATGTGTACATTATACAAATAGTAGTATATAAACTAAAGGTGAACCATGATTATACCACAGAGTTACACTAAGAGTACTAAGTTACATTATGATACTGACAGCTTTATTTTCAGTCTGTTTTCAGACAATTCGCAAAACGGAATTTGCCCTTTTAGCGTCTAGGCACATAGTGTTGATACATTTAGTGAGGTGGCAACAGCACTTGCAACTAATGTGTTAAGAAATAACAAGATTTACTTTTTGGGGTTACCAACGGCACAACCATCGTTTTGGGAAACAACAGGCAATGTCTTTGTTATGTTTACTCACTAATGTATTTTCTTTATTATTTTGAGGGTAAAAATATTTTTGGGGTTTTTCAGACTTCAGATTTTTTTCTTTATTCCCTTAAGGAACTAAAAGTAATCGGGAAGTAATGGTTACCATAGCTAATTAATAATAGCATGTGTAGGAGATCTGAGCTTTATAATGATATACACAACAAACGTTTTAAAAATAATGTTCCAATAACTTTCCAAACTCTGGCTGTCAATCATGAAATTTAAGATTTATTTCTAACCGAAACATATACAAAATTAAAACTTTTTGCTTCAATGCACTTTCTTGCTTACTACGAATGCAAAATCATCTTCATATCAAACTGCCAAAGCAGGAAGTGGACAAATCTTACTTCCTTTTTTAAGCTGCCGAGTTGCTATCAGGTTGCTATGAGCTTACTTTCAAACTAGGAGTACTAGGAGCTCATTTTCCAAACAGAGTCTTTAAACATATGATGACCACATGCTTGCTCTTCCCCTCAGGAACCCTGTCTGATTCATTCTACAAAGTGATTAAGATAATAGGAGAATTAACTCTTTGTAGTATATCAGCCAACATAAAGTGCTTTCAAAAGTTACCAGTGTTGCATGTAAAAGCTGATACCCATGCCAAATTGTTTTGATGGCCAAGAAAATGGAAGTGGATGTCTATCAGGAAATCAGTTTAAAGTTATATGGGGATGGTTACTTTCAGGCAAAATGCTGCACTCTAAAAATAATAATTTGGATATACTGCACACAAAAATAAAGGTAAGAAACTTGTACCACCAAATGATTAATATATACTCCTTTTTCAACAGGTGATGTGATATCGGGGCACAAACAAAACAAGAAAAAAGAAACCAGAAAGTTTTATTAAAATGTAGCAATGTAGCTTCTGACTCCAATCTTCACAAGGGGCAGTGCCACAGGGGAGAAAATTCTTCATTTTAAGCCAATCAGAAATTTGTAGGACATAACAGGTGGTTCCAGAGTAAAGATATGTAGAGAGACAACTCTCAAAATAAGTAACTGCTATGTAACATAAAACTATTTCCTATTCTGACTAAAATGCGCTCTCTCTCTCTCTCTCTCTCTCTCTCTCTCTCTCTCTCTCTCTGTGTGTGTGTGTGTGTGTGTGTGTGTGTGTGTGTGTGTGCGCGCGCGCGTGCGCGTGCGTAGCATCTCCTTGACAACAGTATACAGTATTTTTCAGAAGAACACCTTTCTGATCTTTGACTTTCGTACCTTCTGTCCTGGAACAAGGCTCTTGGAAGAAAGTATGGTAAACCCATCTCCTGGTCCATCATCAGTTGCTGAATTTGATGCTCCTTCTTTTTCGTTCTCCTTCTGTTTGTTCTATTTGCATATAAAATGTTCAGGGAAAAAAGATTAATAGTAATTTCCTAGATTATAAAATGTGTATTTTGTAAATTCTGTAAAAGATTAACACAAAAGGCTGCTTTACGATAGCATAGCCACAAGTGACCACATTTTCCAGGGAGGCTATATTCACAGAGAGTTTGTTTGTTTGAAAAAGGTGACAGATCATCTGGTAGTAAGTTGACATCTCATTTTCACATCAGGAAGTTGTTTTATGTTAAAGAGTCCTCTGGGAAACATTTTCACATCAGGAAGTTGTTTTATGTTAAAAAGTCCTCTGGGAAACCCAGCAAAGATCTATCTTGTCCCCCAACCTATTCAGTTATCTATATGAGACATGCCTGGGGTTATCAGGTACTATTAGTAAGCAGTTCTCCTCATTCCACCTAAATCTGGCAAGGCTGTGCAGGTGTTGGACCAGCGTCTGAAGGCACTGGTGAACTGAATCGAGATGCATCCTGCAACCAGTGTTTCACCTTCTCTGACATAAGCAGCTTTCTTTGGAGGAGAGGAATGGATGCAACCTAATAAAGTTAAATAAAAGTGCATTTTCCCCCAAACTAAATCTTTTTAACTGATTTTAACTGAATTATGGGATGTACTTTGTATTATTAAATGCCTCACTATGTATGAAAGCAGAGTTGGATGTGGCTGGGGTCTAAGCGGATGGTGCCACACTCCAAAATTCAAGGGTGAGCTCCTCCCACTATTCAAACTACAAGCAGCCTGGATCTGGAATGACCTGTGTGTAGTTTCTTGCCCAATTTTATGTGGAGCAACACACAGGGAAAAAGAAAAGGTGGTTGGGGAAAACAACTGCACGTTTCTGCAAATCTTGTCCAATTTCGGCTTTAATTATCTTTCTTGTGGACTATGGTTCGTAGGACACATTCTTGTTCCCCTATTATGTGTACATTTCTCCCTCCCTTCAGAATTTCAATGTAGCTTTTAAATTACTTTTGGAGGATTGACTCTTTCACTGAATTTAACTTGCGAAGGAAGATGTCTCCCTTCCACTAAGTTCTTGTGCTATTAATAATCATATTATAGAAAGCCACAGCAAAGTAATGAATAATAATATCCCTGATGAACCAAATCAAAACAAACTGTCAAGATAGAATGACATCAGACACAGCAAAGATAGCTTTTTTTTTCATAGGTAGAGTTGTGCGGTCTGAGTTCTTACCTTTTTGGGTGCTCGAGCCTTGGCAGCTTTTGCTTTCTTTCCTGTCTTCTTGGTCCCCAAAGATTTCCTCCCTCTCTTCTCTGGAGAAGGTGAAAGGATAGTATCTGATTTGCTTTTGGTGCCTCGTTTTTTGGCAAGCAGCTCTGGGTGAATTCTGGGCAGGACACCTCCACTTGCAATGGTCACTCCTTTTAGCAACTGTAGAAAGAGCGTACAGATGTTTACTCATTTATTTTGATTAGATATGTTATCATCATGAACTATTCACTGTACAAAGTGAGGTAACCTTTATATATGCTGCCCTAAACTTTTTGGAGGTGAGAGGAATAGGAATGGGATTAAATAACTAAAATACAATATAAAGTTGTGTTCTTATTCATACATCGTGTATTCTTACATGATATATGGATCTGTATTTAGAGAAATAATTTTAATGTTCTTTAAGGTGAAGTAAAAAAACAAGTTGTGAATTAAGCTCCCCCCCCCAAAAAAAGAGAAGCCTACTGTAGATACACTAACAAAAGAGCAATCACCAATAAATAAATAAATAAATATAATGTTTACCTGATTCAGCTCCTCGTCATTAGCAACTGCCAGAAGGATGTGTCTTGGGGCAATTCTTCCCTTTTTATTATCCCTTGCAGCATTGCCAGCTAATTCCAATATTTCTGCTACAAGTACATTGAGATACAACTCAATTAGAAGAAATGCAATACATGCAGTTTTAGTGCAAGAGCTTCATTATTTTCTTTTAAATTTACTTCCAAATTTGGTTGGCAAAGTTACTTATGTCACTAACAGTTCTTTACCCATATAAGTAGGAGCAAGGTTCCAGCTAAGCTGGGCACGTGTGTGCACGGCTCCACTTCCCTCCGCACAGCTCTCTTCATGACAGAACGCAGCGTGGGGGGTTGGGGTCGTGAGTGCACGCAGGGGCAAAGCAGTGAGAAAGAGAGAGTTGGAGCCCCGCCCAGCGGAGCTGAAAATTAGAGGGTATGTTGCCTAAGAATACATTCTACTGAACTTAATGAGATTCACTTTTGACCAAGCATCTACAGTGGTGCCTCGCTTAACAGGCGCCCCGTTTATCGACGAATCCGCATAGCGATGAAGATTTTGTGATCGCTTTTGCAATCGCATTGCGATGTTCCCTATGGGGAAAAGTCGCTTTGCGATTTTTCCCCATACGCCCCATTTTCGCCCAGCTGATCGGTGGGGCTTCGGGATGATCATGGGGAAGCGCTTCCCCCCATCATCCCGAAGCCCACATTTTCGCCCAGCTGATCGGCGGGGCTTCGGGATGATGGGGGGAAGCGCTTCCCCATGATCATCCCGAAGCCTCGCCGATCAGGGCTGGAGCTGCGAGGGGAGAGAGAGCCAGCGCCGAAGAACAGCTGATCAGCGGAGCTTTTGGGATGATCACGGGGAGGCGCTCCCCCGGGATCATCCCAAAGGCCCCATTTTCACACAGCTGATCGGCGGTTCCAAAATGTCCGCCCACTGTGTTGCCTCGCTTACCGGGCACCGAAAATAGCGGCCGGATGGAGGATTTTCACTTAAAGGTGAGTTTTTCCCCCATAGGAACACATTAAACGACTTTTAATGCGTTCCTATGGGCTTTTTTGCCCCGCTATGCGGGGCACCACTGTACAATTAATTTGAAGGAATTGTGTCAAACTGTTGCTCTTTTCTGAGTTATTTAAGAATAGGTATATACTTTGTTTCACAAGCAGCTTGCAACCAGCGCCGGGGTGGTGGCGCCTTCCCCATTTGGTTCATGTGCCAACTCTACCCTGTTGGCACTATATATACAGTGGTGCCTCAACTTATGTACACCCCTACATACGAATATTTCGACTTACGAACAGGTCCGTTTGCAAAATTTTGCTTCGACTTGTGAACGGAGCTTCGACTTATGAACAAAAAAATTGCAGGGAAAGCGGGAAATGGACTTTGGACTGCCTGGTACTGTAATTTTAAAATGTAAAAATTGTTTTAAAAGCTGCTTGGTTTGGTTTAAAGCTGCTTGGTTTCAAAGGTGTTTTGTTTAAAAGTTACAGTGGTACCTCGCTAAACGATGACCCACTAAACGACGAATCTGCATAAAGATGACTTTTTGCGATCGCTATAGCGATTTGCAATTTTCCTATGGGGGATTTTCGCTGGACGTTGATTAGGTCAGTGCTTCACAAACTGTTTGTTCGCAAGACGACGATTTTTCGGCTCAGCAAAATGGCTGCCCTGTGTTTTCTGGACCCATGCTTCGCAGGGCAGCCATTTTTACAGCTGATCGGTGCTCGCAAAATGGCTTCCCTATGGGCGATCTTTGCTGGACGATGTGGTATTTTCCCCATTGGAACGCATTAAACCAGGTTTCAATGCATTCCAATGGGGAAAGGGTTTTCGCATGACGATTTCACTGAACAGCGATTTTCCCGGGAAGGATTATCATCGTCATGTGGGGCACCACTATATTCGTTCCCTCCCTCACTCCTTTCCTGCCCCTTTTAAAACCTGTCATCTTAGGTTTAAAAAATTCTCCCCCTAGTGGTAGAGGCTGGATTAACCAGTTTTGCATTAATTCCTATGGCAGAACTGGGCAAAGTGCAGCCGGCAGGCCACATACGGCCTGCGAGCTGCTCATGTCCGGCCCACCTGTCGCCACTGAGTGAGCTGGAGTAACCCCTGTGTTAGCTTGTCTTTGGTTTCAGCCGCTCGGCTTAGAGAATAGGTGGCAGTGTCCCCTGCGGCCACCCAGGCTGCTCTCGGGTCACTTTCTGCAAGGCGCAAAGCAACCCCAATTTCGCAGGCAAGCAATCCCGGGTTCCTTCTCGCTCTTCTCCCTTCTTCCCCCCAATGCTCGCACCTTGTTCCCAGCCTGGAGACGCGCTGCCTGGAAAGCAGAGCTTTCCCACAATAAGCATCCGCCCCAGGAGTGAACCTTCAGAGCCGTTAACGGAAGATACTCATTTCCTCCTCTGCGGCGTTGTGGCTTCGGCGCTTCAATGAAGCGCGCCTGCTTCCTCGACTTGCCAGGACACCCGATCCCTTCCTGCGCAGCACCTAGGCGCCTCTGGTGCTCTGGGAGCAGATAGTGGGGGCATAGAGTTCGCCCCAGCCTCAGCTTCACCCGTCTTGCCTGCCTGGGGGTATTTGGCTAACAACTACCTGCCCCCACTGAAAAGAGCTATGCATTTTAAAAAAATGGCACCCTGGGAAGGATGTGTTCGTGGGTCTATGCAAACAAGCACAGCATATAGTCGTCCTCCATTCCCCCGCCGCTGTCGCCTCCCCCCTTTTCCTCGCCATCAACCACTTCCCGCCCCATGCCCTGAATCCGCCTGTGCTGAACACGACAAGATTAGTAGTGCGAGATTCGCCGCAAGCTAGGAAGGGCCTGTTCGTGGAGGTAGACCAGATGAAAACTGTATTCACATGGCGGGCCTTCTAGGATGGTTGGTGGTGATGGACTCGTGTTTCAGTAGAAAAGAGGGCTCCAGCTGGCTCAGAGAGAAATCACAAGGGGTGGAGAGAGAGGTTCTCCGGCTTTCGTCCCCACACAGACCCACTGAGATGGAGAGGAGCAGAGAACCTGGAGTAATTGGAAAGACACTCTTTCCCGGTCATTCAAATTACCCGGGGACCCAATAAGTCCACTGGTTTCCCTTGTACCCACCCTAGTCTAGCCATCTCAGGCAATT